AATCTGAAATTCCAATCCAAAAAAAAAGTTTAATAGGAACTGTTCATAATAGCGTCATTTTCAAGTATTATGTACGTAAGGAGGTTTAATAAATCATTTTGAAGCACAATAGTCAAATAAAAGATTTGTAGCAGCATTAGTGCCATAACAACAGATGTTACATCAAATATAGTTTTTGTATCAGTGACGACAGTAGCTTGTTGACAGCTGTCTATCGGTCCTCGTCTGAAACTCTGTAACAAATGACGAGGAGAAGTTCCACCAAAGTAACAGCGAGACGGATTATTTTCGTGGTGAAATTGTTTAGGTTAAAATATACAATGTCTATTATCAATGACTATACAGTAAAATCTTATGAAAGTTCTGGGGTTAATTCCCCGCTACTCTCAAATCTCACGACCCCCGTCCCGAGTTCCAGCTCGTCTCGTGTTCTTAAAATACAAAGAATTAAAATCCAGAAAATGTATTAACCAACGAAAAGAGGATTTAGAAATATATTAAAGATATGAGAAAAACTGGTTAGTCACCTCTCACACTTCTGAGTCCGCTTGCTGATAACCACAATGAATATAGAGTCCCTTTATAGCTTCCCTGGGGACAAACACGAATTTTTGAAATGGATTATATTATAATGTTGCTTTAATATTGTCGATCTGGCATGTCCTTGTGGTTGGGGCGCTAGACTCGTAAGATGCGTGTCGCGGAATCGAAACGTGTCGCCGAACATTCTCGTCCTTTCAGCCATGTGGTCGTTATAAGGTGAAGGTAAATCACATTATTCGTTGATATAGTGGTCCAAGAATTAGCTGTGGGTAGTGCTGAATAGCTGCCTTCACTTTAGTCTTCACAACTAGAGACGGCTAACGCAGATAACCCTCGAGAAGCTTTGCGCGAAATTCAAGAAACAAACAATAGTTTCATAATTTTCTTACATTTCAGACAAAAATAAAAGGAATATCGACCTGTTACTGTGTTAAAATAAAAAAACTTCGATACTTTGAATTAAAACTAATAATAACTGACGATGTTGTTCTTGTATTTTTTAGCGCAAAGCTACACAATGGGTTACCTGCGCTCTGTCCATCACGGGGAGTCAGACCTCAAATGTTAGTATTGTCAGTCCGAAAACTTACCGCTGACAGGGGAAAAATAACTGACGACACATTCTCTGTATTTGTTTTGAAACTTAAGACACATGTTTATAACTGTAATGCTCTACCATGCTTAACATGGATTATATGCAATTCAAATATAGAAAAAAGTAAAAATGCAACAGATTATCAACACAGTAGTAACAATGTTTTTTCTTTATTGAATAATTAACTGGTCCTTTACAAGCGAAGTACTGTAAACCTTGCAAGCTATAATTTAAATTCAATTTGTAATTGTTCTGAACCATTGTTTAGATTAATTAAAAATATATCGTTGTTGTTGTTGTTTTAAGCTAAAATTTAGTAAAATATGTAATTATTTTAGTTTTCTTTTAATTCTTGCAAACATGCACAACAGGCTACCCGTGCTACAACCACTGCGAGAATCGAATCCCGAATTCTAGTGTTTTAAACCCTGGAGCTTAATTAGCTTCTTAAAAAAAAAAGCCACAATGATCTGTAAAACATCTGATAATGTGACGGGAAATAACTCGGTAAATACAATCTCTTAAAGTCACACGAATAAGCCATAGTAGGTGTATCCACATCATTAAAATATAATTACACAGAACTGGATTTCAAATCATTCATCGGTTTATACAGGTGTAGTTTGTTTGTTTTTATTTAAGCACAAAGCTACGCAATGGACTATCTGTGCAGTGCCCACCACTGGTATCGAACCACGGTTTTTAACGTATAAGTCCAGAGACTTACCGCTGAGCCACTGGGGGGCTTATATAAAGTGGGGTGGGTGGGTGATATTTAACAATACAGATGTTACTGTGTTCTTAGCTACTTTATAGACTAATAACCGGTTTCCAGAAAATTTCTTATAAAACTGAAACCGAGGTCATTCCTAAGCTAAATGAAATAAGGCACCTATTACTATATATGCGTTGTGTAAGGAGAATATTTGCGTTGCACGGTTTATTTGCATCTTGTTATCACTTAGCATTCCAAAAGATAATTACTTTTTTCCCTTCAACCTACTTTCATTTTTACAGAAATCTACATAACTGGTCATTGGTCAACGTTTAGCCTTTTAACTTATGATTTTTCAAGTTTTCAGCCACCCCACTTCTCAGTGGCAAGTATGGAGGCTTATAACGCTCAAAATCAGGTTTCGATACCCATGTCGAGTACTGCACAGACAGCCTATTTTGTATCTTTATGCTTAACAACAAACAAACACGTTTTCAACTAAGACATTCACACGGGTAATGCGGAAAGTTGATGTTTGCAGGAGGAGTATTTTTAAAATGTTATAAAAAGTTGTTCCATTCATAATACGTAATAGTTTTAAAGACGTGTTATTGCTAATGTAGACAGTTATAATTTAAGATTCAACTGTATATGAACTTTGTCTAAAACTTTTTTAAGAAATAAATGCGGTAGTTACTGATAAAGAAACAAAACGATATTTTACACTTATTTGCGTATAAATAATAGTACTACAGTTTAAAGCAACTTTTCTATAATTATCATTCATTTATTTCGAAGTATGATCTGACACTGTGCAAGGATTCTGGGGAGCTCTGAATGGACATACCTACTGTACCATCTTGGACACTGCATTGGTTCTAGAGATGTTTAAATGGTATACATACAGTGCCATCTCGGACAGTGTGCGTGGATTCTGGGAAGCTCTGAATGGACATACCTACTGTACCATCTTGGACACTGCATTGGTTCTAGAGATGTTTAAATGGTATACATACAGTGCCATCCCGGACAGTGTGCGTGGATTCTGGGAATCTCTGAATAGACACACAAATTTTGCCATCTCGGACATTGCCTGGGTTCTAGAGAACTCTGAATAAACTCACGTAACGTGGAATCTCAAAAATTGTGGGTTCTGAAGGGCTTTAAATTATCATCTATCTGATTTTTTTTTTCTGAAACTAACAATACACACATCTACAATATGGTTTCTTTGCTTTATGGCAGCTTGCTTGTCACGCTTAGATGAAATACTCTGACTCGTGGAACTCTGATTTTATCTTTACTTTTAATACTTCTACCGGTTATTGTTCAGTTATCAACTTGTAAAATAAAAGCTGAGGCTTTGTTTGTTTCGTGCGAAGCTACTAAAGAGTGATCTGCGTCACTAATTTTGAATTGTTAGACCAGAGAGATAAGGCAGCTAGTCAAGAGCACCCACATCCAGCTCTTGAGCTACTAAAAATGGAATAGTGTGATTTGACCATCACAAAGAGCTGAGTGTGATTATATTTGTTAGCGGCAACGGGACACAAATCTTCAGCCCTCGGATCCACAATTCGGCATGCTAACGACTTGACACTCCTGGCTCCAACGTTTCTTAGTTAAGGTCATCTTTAACACCTGCTACTGGTCGATATCGGGCGGGGTTCGTCTGTTATAAAGAGAAAAAAAAAACTCAAAAAATTACGAGAGGACCTTTTGTGATAGGCATAATGCTATACAAAACATCAGTTGACGCTCACTGATGTAAAGTAGAATGTATTAAAGAACAAATGGTGTGTTCCCTATTTGTTGCAGGGCAGTCCACGTGACGATCACTGGTGTGGAAGATTTTGCATTGCACAATAATCTTGTAACGGTCTCTACACTGTATTGCACAATAATCATATGACGGCTCTCGTGTGGTAGCTACTGTATTGCGCCCCCCCCCCAGTGGCACAGCGGTATGTCTGCGAACTTACAACGCTAGAAACCGGGTTTCGATACCCGTAGTGGGCAGAGCACAGACAGCCCATTGTGTAGCTTTGTGCTTAATTATAAACAAACAAACAAACAAATACTGTATTGCACAACAATCATATGACGGTCTCTAGTGTGGTACATGTTGCACAATTATAGTGTGACTTGTCTCTAGTTCTTGTACTACACAATTAACTTTTTTTAAACAATTCAGACCTTCCAAAAAATTTGAATTCTTAAGATAGTTTTGAAAAAATTAAATACCAGAAACTAGACATCTAAGTTTGATTGTTTGTTTGAAGTTAAGCGCAAAGCTACACAATGGGCTATCTGTGCTCTGCCCACCACGGGTATCGAAACCCGGTTTCTAGCGTTGTAAGTCCGCAGACATACCGCTGTGCCACTGGGTGGCTAGACGTCTAAGAAATGGCAAATATGAAGTTTGACAAATCTAGACCTTCCTAAAGCTATATATTCCTGAACCTCGACCAATTATAAAGAACATAAAAATAAGACATTCTAGGATTTATAAGCATATATTTTATATAAACGGAAAAGAGCAAACGGGCCTGGAGCCTGGCATGACCTAGTGATTAGGGCGCTCGACTCGCAATCTGAGGGTCGCGGGTTCGAATTCCTTTTATTCCCCTGATGTTTTGGAACAAGGAAACACAATTTGATTGATTTATTATTTCATAACATTCAAAACCAGTAACATTCTGTAAGCTTGTTCGATTAGTGGTAACACGTGCCTCGGTCTGTTTATACTGAATACTTTGAGTGATAACTGATTTGAATAGGTGGAATTCTATATAGAAGGACAGAGACTAGTTATTTATAGATATTTTAAAATCACAGTTAATCTCAACTATATTTCCCAGTCAGTGCGAGTAAGCTTTAGGCTTAGTGGGGTATTGTTTTCGTCGCGGTATCTTCAGATGGAATGGATGAACGTTAATTCAGGCTAAGCCAGTACATTGCTCTGTTTAATTAAACACATTATACTTTAATTTTCTCGACAAAACAATAATAATGTCAGAGTCTCGAACTGGAAATCGGAAGGTCTTGGATTTCAGACGTGATGCTACTAAGCACACTTCGCGCTTACAACTGTGAACGTGTTACAAGAGTAGCATTCAATCAAAATATCTGGCTAAGGGTAGCCACTTCAGGCGGTGATTGCTTCTGACTGATTTTCTTCCGTCTGATACACAATTCGAGATTAAGGACGGCT